AGGTTATGACTAAATTCAAAATTTTTATTTTTCGATACGTTTCTCAATCGGCAAACAAACTTGAAAGGAAGAGATTTTAGTCTACGCCAAAGAGAAAATTATGTCTGAAGTTCAGTAAGTTTTGCTTATCTGGCTATAAATATGGCGTCAATTTTAAAGTATCATTGATAATTGTATTTTAATTGACAATTTTTAACTATTATTTTATGTTTCTCAACCTTTAATGCATTTAAAAAGGTAGCTAACTCTATAAACTACCGGTAGAGAATAAAGCTAAAACAAAGTAATTTTGAGAGGGACGCCAAAAAGATTTTAGGTTTTGAAAACTTTTCATTGTAAATACGTGACATTGAAAAAATTGCCTCTTTATACTCATTTATCGGAGAGTTTAGTAAAAAAGGGTAAATGAGAGACATTACTCTACTCATACGAATTCTAGCTGGGCCTGGTTGTTCAAAAGCTGGTTAGTTTAATCCTAGGTTAACTAAAATCTCAAAGCAATCTTCCCAACAGCCTATTTAGAAACATGAAGATAGTTTTCCACAATTCATGTCTGTATCAATACAAAGTTTCCAAAGTTTCGAAATAAACAGAAGCGCAAATGTACCCAAACTAAAACGGCGGGTTGAATTTTAACCCAGGGTATAGCGCTAATCCAGCTTTGAACAAACCGGCCCCTGTACAACATAAGATCACTTCAAGGTTGCCCACACTGAAGAACATATGCTATCTCTTCTGCATGAGTTGACCTGCGCGCTTAACTCAGCAATAAGCCCACATTGAAGAATATTCACCAAATCAGTATAGTGAGTTCTACAGGTCAAAGTTTAGCTCAACCAAACAACTGACTAACCTCCAACATATCCTTCCGTAGCATAACAAAGGATTCATTTCTGTTGCCAAAAAATCTTCGTGGTGGAAAACTGATGTTGCGAACCTACACACATCACAAATAAACGTTAATTCTCTAATCAGTACTATCTATATAGAGTACAGTATGAGTATACGGTGTTCCTCACCTCTGGGTGTCTATGTTTAATATCATTGTGCATTTCTCGGAATTTCTTATATCTTCGAAATACTGTCCACATCTCATCCCCTACAGTGACCTGTAACAAGAACGGCTATTTAGATTTCCCAAATTAGAATCAAGTTGAGACTTGCAATGACTCACCTAAAATATTAAAATATTGGTACAAAACCGCGACTTGGTGTTATTGTTCTTGACACATTGTTCTTGGCGTAATTCGGAAATGGTCTATTGAATTAGCTGTATTACTACATAATTTCCTAGGTTCCTGGTACGTTAAATAGTACATTTCAGTAAAACTAAGTTGTTTAATAGATAAATACAACTTACCCTGACTTCAAAGACATGATAAGAGACTCGACCAATGCCTCGTATTCTAAAGCGAGGTATTTCTACATGAATTGTGTTCCGTTTATTGTGAATGACGGAGGCCAGGAACTTGGACACGGGGGTGGGTGGGGGAGTTATTGACGGTGGGGTAACTGAACCATCCAGGCTCGCCACGCTACCTCCCCGACGGTTCTAGGATAAAAGATATGTAAATGTCGGACTTGATACAATGACACATTTTGACCAAGGCATGTTAAAGGATCTATCTAAATCTATCGTGACCTTTGCTAGCCTGTGTTCCAGTCCACTACACCGTTATGTAAACTGTCGAGCATTGTGATTGGATAAAAAGCGCTCGCAGCTTGCTTGCAAGCTTAGTATTAATTACCCTGGATTCCAGAGCCTTCGACAGTAAATAATAAATTGAAATGTCGCGAAGGCTCTGGTTCAACAGGGCGATTGTTTGATTAAACCGCGCCAATCACAAAACAGAATTAGTGGTTTTAGTAATTACCACTAATTCTGTTTTGTGATTGGCTCGGTTTAATCAAAGAATCGCCCCGTTGAACCAGAGCCTTCGCGACATTTCAATTTATTATTTACTGTCGAAGGCTCTGGAATCCAGGGTAAGTATTAATTTATTTATGTATTATATTTCAATCCATCGGAGACACATTTTCACTGTTTTCATTTCATTGATGCAGAGGAAGGATTTCTGAACTAACCTTGATGTTTCGTGATAAATAATTTGCAAACTCAATATCCTCTTCGTCGTCGTCATCGAATTCGTTGTGGATTGGTAAGTTCTAGGAGAGACAATAACTTTAAGTACATCAATATGCGGCTTTGAAATGTTCAAATCAGGGGCGTAGGAACCGGGGGGGGGGCAGGGGGGCCCCCCAAGTTTTGGCAAGTAACCTTTTTCCCGAAGCAAAGTGCCCTTTTTGTGCGTAAAAATTTTTCATTAAAATTGTATTTTTAACCCAAGTTGCACTTTTGAAAACTTCAATGTACGTTATTTCCTGAAAAATGTTAAAAATTGCGGAAAAAAACGTATATCCGGAAAATTTTGTTTGTATTCCGGAAAATTTTTTTAGTATTTACGAAAAAAATTTTGTTTATCCTGAAAATATTTTTGGGATATGTCCGGAAAATTTTTTTTGGACCCCTAAAATGGTACACTGACCGAAATTTTTTTGGCGACGGGGGGGGGGGGTCGCCAACTACAAATTTGGAGATGTCCTATTTGGGGGAAAAGTGCCCCTCAAAGCCTGCCCCCCCGCACAACTTTTCGAAGGTTCCTACGCCCCTGGTTCAAATCATACGGATAAACAGCGATCTATACTTACAATCATGCTTGTATAGTGACTGACTTTGTGTTGCAGATGTGCAATTTCTCTAAACGCGAAATAAAAATATATTAGTTACTGGCAGTTGTGATTTTGAAGTTTATGTATGTAATGGGCGATTCGAGCTGTAGACTAAATTTTGATCAAGGCAAGAAGAACGAAATCCAACACCACAGCTAGAAAAAGCGTCTTAGAATGAGTAAAACTGCAAAGATTGGTTGCCAAAAGTTCTAAAATGAAGAAAATATAGCCCTTTGAAGTTCGCAAATTTTGTATATATTTGTATTAGGGACTGGTCATAAAGTAACTGCAATAGGGTGGGCTGGAGGTAAATCACAAATTTTGCCAATAAGTTCGGTAACCCATCTTAGGATGTAGATAAAAATTTCAAAGCCCATCTAATTTTACAAAAAAATTTTCATGACCCACCCAATCTAAATTGGGAAAATACACTTTTATAACAAAAACAACTTGCAGGTATGAACATTGTAAATATACACGGCACTGTACTGACATACATAATTCCACCAAGCTTGACCAACACATTGATACTGAGCTGCTCTCCAGTTGGCTGTATTTGCTGTGATTCAACCACTTGTTGTTGTTGTATAAACAAAGTACTGGCTTCAATAGCATAATTTGCATTTGATAATTTGGATAGTTTTGTTTACTTTTATTATTAATACTGTATCTTTATTTTTTGAAGTAGACATGCATGGGTTTTTGTTTGGTGGCCCAACCGTGGACATACAAAAAAATTGGCGGCCCATCGCAACTGCCCAAAGATTTTCCATGGCCCATCCCAAATCACTCCAGCCCACCCTAGCAGTTCCTTTAAGACCGGTCCCTTACGCGCGGTAAAAATAACCAACTATTGCGCAATTGTTAGAGGATCCGAACGTCCTTATCCGAGAAGACGCGACAGTCTGACCATTTACTGATGTCAATATAAAGGTAGCTCTTTCTCCTCAATTATCTTAAGACCTTGAGTAGAGGTCCGACCAGGGATTGAAAGGCAAGCGTGGTGACCACGTGGTGACCTCGTGTCGTGGTGACCTCGTGGTGACCTCGTGGTGACCTTGTGGTGACCACGAGTGCTGATGTTTAGGATTACGACTTCATCACGATAGGCACGAAAAAAATGAAAACCAAGCTTTGTTCCTACCTATCAGAAGTTTCCAATTTTTTCTTCAACTCGACAATTTTGTCTTGTGCTTCTTCTTTCATGAGACTCAGTTCACTTTCCTTTTCTCGTATCACAGTCTGTATTTCGTCCATCTTATCTCGCTCCAGCGCCAGACGCTCTTGTTCAGTAATTTGTTTTTCCTTCAATCTTTCTCGTTCCAGGCGTTCGTTTTCTAACAGCAGTTGTTGTTTCTCGAGTTCCAATTTTAACACGACTTCTTCGTGTTCTTTGCGAGCTTTTTGTACCTCCAGAAACATCGCGGAGTCTGTCCCACTACAGGTAAGAATACATAAATAAGTTGAGCGTGAACGAAAACTAACGACTTGACCAAACAAGTCAACATTTTCAAAATTTGAAAGTTTCCTCGGCTTGCCCAGCCTTGAAACATTGTTGCGGACATAAAATTTGCTTATAAGAAAGAATACTTCCCCAGAAATTCAGAAACATATTCTTGTTTGGTAATAGTGATTTTGACTCAATGTTTCCGTGTTTTCCCAAACCTTAATTAGTTAACACGAATCTCTGTTTCATTCTATTGTTACATTATCAAAACAGTGGTAACTATGGGCATGCAAGTTATCCGACAATATAAACTGGCTGGCAACCGACATAAGTATATCAGTTGGTCGAGTTTTGAAACAAGGATGGATTTACTGGGGTGTGGGGGCAGGCGTGTGCACCGCCTAGCCCTGGCCAGAGAGGGTGCAGGGGGGTTCTATTTATCGTGATAAAGCAAAAAATAATGGAGACAAAATGAGATACAGTAATTTGAGCAATAACATGATAATAAGCGGACTGTGAACAACAATTACAATACCGTATATGATGATGGGCGGGCGGTACACATGACCGACACAACTCGTGATCATGCTGGATCCATCCCGGTTTTGAACAAACGAATCATCTTAAATTATGCTGTTTTGAACAAACGAATCATCTTAAATTATACCTTTCATTCTCAGGTTTAACCATAGATTCCTCGCCTTCAAATTTTTCCACAAATTGGATGATTTCCATTTTTTCTCCTGTACGGTCCTTCTGAAACACTTCTCGCATTTCCTTCAAGTCATTTTCAATTCTTTCCTTTTCATTCTCTTCCGCCAAGATGCTTTCCTCCAAAACTTTATGATTATTTTTTATCTTATCCAACTCCCGGCTCATACTTTCCTCTTTTTGGGAGACTTCCGTACGACCGGAATTATTGGCCACATCTAAGTCATGTATTAAACTCTCTATGGACACATCTTCCGGTGCGGTTTCTATACCCTCGGATAGTTTACGTGCAATTGAGACGATCCCGTCTTCAAGTTTCTGATGTAGTGCCTCCTCCTCAAGATCTAACTCCTTCAACCTTTCTTTATCATCTTGAAGTTTACTTTGAGCGTCTTCTACCATTTCTCGAAAATGACTAACTTTCTTTGCAAACTCTTTAATGGTATTTTGTTTGTCGTTTTTAAACTGTTCTACCTTGGTTCGTTCGGCGTCTAAATTCACTTCACTATTAGCTTGTTTCTGTTTGAAATCTCTACTGGCCATAGCCAATAGCTCTTCTGATTTCCTTTCCTCAACGATTGCGTTTTCTTCCAGCTCACGTAGCCGTGTTTTCTGCACCTCCAACTGAGCTTCAACATCCTGCAATTCACTCTCGTTGCCATTTTCACCACCCAGACTATTATTCCTTAATTTTTCAACTTTATTCTCCAGTTCAACAACATCCCGCCTTTCCTTGGCGATCAGAAGACTTCTTTCTTTACTTTCCTCATCAAATTTAACCTGTTTCGCTTTCAATTCCGTATTATCAGCTCGTAGCGTCTGTAATATTTCTTCCTCGAGTTTAAAAAGCTGCTCTTGCGCTGCGTGGATAATCCTATCTTCTTCAGCAATCTTATTACTTAACTCAATCTCAGCCTCTGCTAACTGATCGGCAGCAATATCTTTTTCAGCTTCTAACTCGTTTAAACGTTCCTCCAATACTTGCCTCCGTTCACGAATGTCTTTCCTGTTTTCGTCGACTTCCCAGTCCAAAACTTCTCGTTCATTTTGAAGATGTTTTTGTATCTTTCCAACAGCATTTTCTCGTTCTTTGTATAAGTATGAAATTCGTTCTTTTGATTTTAGAATTTTTCTCACAAGTTTTACTCTGTCGCGTTCAAGTTGCTCGTAATCACCAGCTTTCGTTCTTTCCTGAAAAAGGTTTAAAAAATATATCAGCATAACGCGCAGTACGATATATAATATTAAAAAACTCATTAATAATTCAGGAGGAAAACACAAAGAAAAATCATAAGCGTGTCGTGGTTTTATATGTGATAAAAAAATGATGTTAATTTACATAAACTTTAGCTTTGATTTTCTCGGTTTAGACAAAGTTTATTTTAAAAATTACTTCGCCAATGAACTCGTATAAGACGAGTCGTTTTTTAAGCTATTTAAAGCACGCGTAGGAGTGTTTTATCACATATAAAACACTCCGCTACGCGTCGTATTTTATATGTGATAAAACACTCCTACGCGTGCTTTAAATAGTACATAATAATCATAATAATGTACAGTATACTATTGTTAAACAAATACACAAGAATAACAATAGAATGATACAACACAATACGTCAGGATAGTTCTATCAGTTCTAAACAGATCTTCCTTCTGGTTCAATAATGGTTATCCCTTATTGGCAAAGTGTTACTGCAAAAGGAAACCTACACTAAACAGACTATATTTTGGATAGCTCCATTATATTATATTCGATTGACCATTCCGGCATTCCTTATTGTTCAAATTTTAGTAGAGAAAGAATTATATACTATAGAAACTATATTAACATTGGCAGTTCCTAACTGTTCTTCTTTGAGGTCTAGTAACGGGCCGTCCCTTACTCATTACTTTTAGAAGGATTAGTATTACTTTAGGAAGAACATAACTGTTTTATCACAGTGGAAAACAAATAATCTTTGTCCAATCTCACCTCTTCAATATCCTTATCCAGCAAACTAAGATCATTCTCAAGTGAACTCAAAATCTCCTTCTCCTCAGACAATTTCCCTGTTTCTTTTTTCCAAATCATTTGCAAAGCTACCATCTCTTCCTCCCTTGCTTTGCGCGCGATCTTACTCTCCGTCTGAAGCAATAACAATCTCTTAACCTCGTTATCAAGCTCCTCGATCTTCGCCCGTTTTTCTTCATAAATTTTTCCCTTCACTTCAGCAATTTCACGTTCCATGACTTTTTCAACATGGTCGAATTGCTCTTGAAGTTTTTCAAGTTCGTCATTTTGGCTTTCAATTTTCATCATACGACTTTCAAGTTCATGTTTGTAAATGAGTTCCTGTTTTCGACGATCCGTCTCAGAGATGCGGTGTTTTTCTTCTAATTTGTCGTATTCGGCCCTGAAAGGGACACACGTTGTTTGACAATGTGAATGAGTAAAAAAAACACCACCATCATCACCATCACTACCATCACCATCATTATCTTGTTCACTGTCATCAACATCACAATCATTACCACCATCACACCACGACGGTCATCACCGTCACACCACCATCATAATAACCACCCACCACCATTATCAACACCATTATAATAACAATCACCACCATCATCAGTGATCACTACCACAACACCATGGGCTATTACACAAACATCACCACAATCATAATAACCATCATCACCACCCACCACCACCATCATCATTACTACCAATATCATTACCATCACCACCTTTATCGCTAGAACTACCACCAATACCATCACAAACACCATTGTAACCATCACATTACCATTATTAACAGTACTTTACTAAATACGACTTGGCATACCTAGTTTTATCCGCTCTTTCCGCCTGGGTACTAACTACTGCTCTCTGCTGTTCCAGCTCTTGTCTGTGGAGTAATAAACAATATTAGTGAGCTTAAGCAAGTGACGTTTTTGACAACACGGACGTCGAGCGGAAGTAAAATTGACGTTTTTCACCAATCACAGCCCTTGACCCAGACTTCTGACGTTACTCATGCCGTTCGTGTTGTCAAAAACGTCACTTGCTTAAGCTCACTAATATCAACTAGAGATCAATACAGACACTCATGAATAAAGCATGACAGTGTTGGATTGATAGGGATGCAACTACCTAAAAAATACAAGGAGTACTTCGACGTTTCGAGCGAAGACCCTTCGTCTAACTTCCCGACGAAATGCCTTCGCTCGAAACGTCAAAGTTCTCCTTGTATTTTTCAGGTAGTTGTATCCCTAGGCCAAAAAAAATATGTGGGTTTCCGGTTTCCCGACCCTACCTAGCTTTTGGACGTCGAAATCCCGACCCTAAACTTTTTTATTGGATCATGCTTGTAAGTGTTTCCACTTAGAGGAAAAAGTTTGTGGAAAATTGAAATTTTGAGGCAACATTAGGGAAATTTATCTTTGGATGTGGAAGCACTGACTAAACAAAATGGCGTCCGCTTGTTCGGAAAATTAAAAAAAAAAAGTTTAAAAAAAAAAGTTAAAACCGACCTACCCTACCTAAGTTTTTATAAGAAGAAACCGGAAACCCACATTTTTTTTTTGGCCTTATCAACCTGAAGCTTTCTTATTATTGCCACTACATACACTGATACAGACCGTTCAAAAGCATGACAGTACCTTGTTTCCTCAAGTCTCTTGGATTCCTCTTGAATCTGAGCGGCTAGTTCATCTCTGAAAACATTAAACATCAAAAACTCGTACAAAACGCAATAACAATTATGCAACAATGATTACAGTACAATCATAAAGGCAAAACAAAAACATACTTCGCCTGCTCCAGACGTAATGATTCGTCTTGCTTCTGTTTGTCCAAAAGATTCCTTTGAAGAAAAATAAAACACACACAACTCATTAAACTGAACTAAACTAACTTTGTTTATTCCGGATAGGTCCAATAAGGGCCAATCCTTATCCGTCCAATGTTATTACAATACTACAGGAGGAAACTGGAGAAAATCTGCGCTGTTTGGTAGAGTCAAACTGGAAGCACTCAAGATTCTTTCAAGTGACTGAGGTAAAATTATGATCAGAAAACTGTGTAATGCAGGAATCGAATCCTGGATACTGAGGTGCAAGAACCATGCACCATCCACATGCATAAAGGCGTTATCTTCTTCTGATGGATGTGAACGAGTGAATGAGTTAGGAATGTTCAAATGAGGGAGCACATACTCGGAACATTCATAACTAATCCACTCGTTCACATCCGTCAGAAGAACAAAATCGCACCTAAAATCGCAGTAAAAATTGCAAGTGTAAACAGGCCTTAAAGGCCCGTTTACACGGGCGATTTTTGCTGCGATTTTAGTTGCGACTTTCTCCTTTTGGAGGATGTGAAGGAGTAGATTACTCAATGATGTTGTTGAGATTTCATAATCTGGAAAATTTATAACTGATCTACTCCTTCGCATGCTCCAAAAGGAGAAAATCGCAACTGAAATCGCAGCAAAAATCGCCCGTGTAAACGGGCCTTTACCCACCTCGCTTGATCCAGTTCGCGGGTCAATTTTTCCTCGCGCTCACTCCTGTAAGGAAAAAGACAAAATTAAAAATACGCAACCAATGAATATAAACAATAAACTATAATTTCACAATGACATATATAGAAATTTACCCTGTAATAAAACCTCTTAGTAAATCTGACTCGCTGCGAAACTTCGACATCATATTCGCGCGATTCATACCATTTTTATTCATAGTCTAAAACAGTGAAAAAATGAAATACAAAAACAAATAAAAGCTATATATAATGTGACAGACAAACGGAACCAGACACACAGAAAGGACTCAAATTTCAAAACTAATAAAAATAAAAGCATGTAATTGTGGAATGGTAAAAATTTAAGAATTTCATTGACTTTATTGCTCTACACAAGCTAACCACAAACCTTGACTTGTATGTAAAATTTTGCATTTATTATTCAAGTTATGGTACCTTTCTTTTTTCTCTCAATTCGGCGGCTTCTTGCGGATGGTTAAACCGAAATAAATTTGTCTTCCCCAAAACAATAACATCGCCTGAAATATAAACAAAATTTATGAATCCTTTCTTCTGGAAATAGAGACTAACCTAACCTAATTAACGAATTCCGCAGAATATGGAATACAGTGTTCAGTGATTTGATGAGAAAAAGAACCATTTTAAATGACATTTTTGCTGTAGTTCATAACATCAAATTATACTTATAGACATAATAACAGCAGGAATTAAACTTGTACCACCAAACCAGGCTAAGTAAGTAACATAAATAAGCGTAATACTCGACTTAATCGGTCACTGAAAAGCCCCATGCAATGGGGAGTGAACTGAATAATAATGTAATATATACTGGAAAATGTCCGGCAGCGCCAAAAGCATTGTAATCTTTTCTTACCTTGGTAAAGTTTAGCGGGTTTTTCGATTTTATTTCCATTGATAGTACAGAGGGAAGAGAGAGGGTTTAGGACAACATTGCCTGTCGTGTTCTCAATATTACAATGTTCCTTGCTTGTGTCTGGTCCACTGATTACTGAAATATGAAAATATAGAATTATGTTGCGGATACGTAATAAGAACTGAAGGAAAGTTGATCAGAGATATTATGGAATGGAGGGATCAGAAGATATGGGGTCGTAAACATTGCAGAGAAGATGTGGGGAACAAGGCTGAGATAGTATGGACACATGATATGAGATGAAGGAGAACAGGTCAGAGATATTTTATTATTTTGAAGCTTGGACGAAAGGGGGCCAGAAGACTAGGGAAACTGAAGAGATGAATGGACTGTGTAAACCATTGGAAAAGTTGTGAACTTACCGATGTCTTGTTTTTGAGATGCATCTTCTCGACCAACGGTCGTCCGACCTTCCTGTTAAGCGTAATAAGAAAGTTAATGTTACTTCGCTGACTTTGACAGTATTGGTCAACCTTGGGCTGGCATTTAGTAGGCATGGCGTCAGAGCTTCTATTTCTTGCCAGTGCCATTCCTTTGCTCCAGTTCCGCCCCTAATTTCTTCCTAACTTCCTCACTGTAAAGTGGTGTCAAAATTCATATAATTAAATAGCGACGAAAATTGCGATGGAATTAAAAATAGAAGGCCTACAGTAAATCTTATACTACCTTTGACAACAGAGGGTAAGAATACAATGTAAAAGTTAGATTACATAGAATGTAAGTAATTGATAACATACTGTTAAATGATAAACAACGATTCCTGTACTGAATAAATCATCGTCCACCACAACGAGATGAGGAAGACATGAATCCATTTTGATTCCAACACCTTCTCTTTGTAAAGCCATTTCTCTTTCCTATAACATCATAACAATACAAGCACGGTTGAAAACAAGTGAATTAATGACTGATTGAATAATTGAACGGTCGACAACTAAATTTTATAATTTATTGAACATATGAAAGTACTAAACAAAAGCTTACTTCTAAAATCTTTTGTGTCTCTCGCCATCTGTCTTTCCACTTGTCGGTAAGCTCGCTAACTCTCGCTTCGTTTTCTGATAGTTTCTTTGCCGCTGCCAGTTCTGCTGTCCCGAGCGCTTCCTGTAGAATCAACCAATAAATTTGGAGTAAATATCACTAATACGATACTCAAATGTGAAAGGGAATATTTTCAGATGTATTAAAAATCCGAAAACTAGTCGGGAGGTACAACAAAGCATCGAATGAGAATAGTAAATATTGGCAGTGAAACGTGGGTCGTGTTCATAGTTTTTCGGGCTCCGGGATATCGAAAATTTGATCTATTTAAGGATCAAATTTTTGGTAGTTGCTATGTTTGCATCAAAATATTGACAATGTGGTAATGTTGATCAGTTGATGGTGACGTTGGAAACGATATTGTTGATGATGCATGGTGATACAGGTGTAAATTGTGATGGTGATGATGTTGATGGTGACAGTGGAAATGATGGGTGTTGATGGCGGTGACAGATATTAGTGATGGTGTTAATTGTGGTATTGGTGATGTCGATTGTGAGAGTGAAAATGATGGTGATACATACTGGTGATGGTGTTGTGGTGGTGTTGGCGATGTTGGTGGTAATGACAGTGAAAACGATAGTGGTGTTGATGGTGGTTATACAGTACATACTAGTGAAGGGGTTTATTTGTAGCGGTGGTGATCTTGGTGGAGGTGATGTAGATGGTAACAGCGACGCTGCTGGTTAAAATCATAAAAACAAAATATTTTTCTCACCGGATTAACCATAGCCTTGAGACGATCAATTTCAGCCTTGAGTTCTCGTATCAACTTCACATTAGCATCTTCGTTCACCGTGGGTTTATTAATGATATTCTTCGCGCGGTTTGCATATCTCAGAGTACTTAATGTTTCTGCGTAGTTGATGTCCGCGGGTGAAATAGCTAAACAAAATTGACATTGAAAAATGTTTTTTACTTTCAATCTAACAATTTGTCGGGTTGGGTACTGTTATTCCCAGCTCTCTTAAAAGTTAGTTTGGCGAATCACAATGTTTCCGCAACAATGTTTCCTAGTTTGCCCAAGGCTTTAATGCGTATCTGATTGGTTAATCTGGTAGATTAAACGTATCTGATTGGCTAATCTGGTAGATTAAACGTATCTGATTGGTTAATCTGGTAGATTAAACATATCAGATTGGTTAATCTGGTAGATTAAACGTATCTGATTGGTTAATGACAGCGGTAGTGAAAGTTAAATTTGAACCTCTCAACTGTCATTCCTCCTACACGAGTATTCATTCCTGCACAACAGCCTAGAAAATTAGTCTAGGAAACCAGATAACTACCATGCATCGTATCGCTAAGACTAATTCTGCAGAGTGTTTATGGACATACTTGCAATCATAACTTTCTTCGAATTTCCTCCCAGACTATCTTTCAGTAACCACGTCAACACTGAATCCCGATAAGGAATAAATATCTTCTTTTGTGGATGCATGGAAACGTCAGCTAAAAGGAATTTAAAAAACGTTTGAAGTTAATATTATTAGTTGTCCATAGCAGAAAATTTAACGAAAATATCATTGTTAAAAGTTGAAAATTTTCAACGAAAAAATTTCCACTCAGGAAAATTTTCCACCAAAAAAAAATGGCGGAATGATAGGGATTCAACTGCCTGAAAAATACAAGTAAAAAACTTCGACTTTTCGAGCGAAGGTTTTCGTTGGGAAGTTAGTGACTGACTACGTTTACTACTAACTTCCCAACGAAGGGCTTTCGCTCGAAACGTCGAAGTTCTCCTTGTATTTTTCAGGTCGTTGTATCCCTATCAATCCGAAGCTTTCTTAAACTGTTTAATTTAAGCACTATCGTGGACCAGAGAGTGGTCAATAGACGATGGCAGTTATTGGGAAAATGATGTTAGTTCTCTTCATTAGATGTAGTAGTATTGTATTTGGTGACAAATAAACAGAAGAAGAGATGTAGCTTGGTAGCTTGCTCCTAGTGCAAGTGTCAAAATTTGAACAACATCTGCCGTTCCGTAACACTTACTGAAATATAGGCCATACTGGAGGATTCTCGTCAAATTTGATATGCTTTTCGTATTTCTATACTTTACAGAAGTTTTATTCATGTTATTACATTGCTTCAGCTATAGCTAGCAGTATAAATACTTGAAGATGAACGCTGCAACATTGACACCCAGTGACGGAAATCCATAGCTCATTCATTCATTGTCTTGCACACATGTGAAATTGCAATTGTAAAAGTTCGAAGATGAATTTGCATGCGAAACAAAACCAAGGAATGCCATTACAAAATTAACGACTGTAATTTTACGTTTTGGATTGTTTTGCAGTGCATTCAACCGTGTACCGAACAGTAATTACTCAGCTCGGGAGCAGCTGACGGAAGTATACTTCAGACTGATTTACACTATCAAAGTTTCTGTGATCACAGTAGGAATTTTGCATATACAATCTTTGACAATATAGATTGGGACAATCTAGTTTTCACATGCATTCGGTTGTAATATACCATTTCCTGATACATATTTTCCACCCTCCCTCCTCCCACCCGTTTCAATGTTGGCGCCGCGCATCCAGACATCAGATTTTTGTTGGCCCAACATTGAACTGGGGGAACGGGGGGCGCTATTCCTTTCAAATTATATGAAATTACAGCAGCTGTCCCATAGTTTCTGGCAAAGATTGTAGGTACATTCTAAGTTTTGAAGGATTTGTAAGAAATGTTTGAGAGAACTAACTTAGTGTTTAACGCTGAGTCAGTTTCCTCAAACATTTCTTACAAATCCTTCAAAACTTAGAATTTACCTAATGATGCAAAATTCCTACTGCATGTGATCACATAAACTTTGATAGTGTATAAAACAAGGCTTTACTGTACTTCCAGTAAAAGATTAGTCGGTTCTCGTGGAAAATGCGCTTTTCATTAAATGAAGGGTTTTTGTAGCTGTTATATAGACAAATATCTAATCACAAATCTTATATAATTTTCGGACGTAAAAATATATACAACTTTAGATCTAACCGGGAACAAGTACGCAAAATGCAACTTTAGGCCGATTTTTTAAGAAAGATTTTTTTATAAAAGTGTTTTCTGGGTTTTTTTCTTCAAAAACGCATTAATAATTTATGGGGCAAACACAAAGAAAAATCGTAAGCGTGTCGTATCTTTGTGTGTGAGAGATTTCCCTTGATTTACATAAACTTTAACTTCGATTTTCTCGACTTACACAACGTATTTTTTGAAAATTACTTCGCCAATGATCGAACTTACTAGATCGATCGTTTTTGAAGCAATTTAAAACATTCGCAGTGCGTGTTTTATCAGACCTAAAGATACTCGGCTTCGCCTCGTATCATTGTATCTGATAAAACACTGCTGCTCATGTTTTAAATAGTACTTCAATATTCAGTTTGAACCAAGTGAAGTGCAGAAGAAATATTTCAAGTGCGTCTTATCATAACCCGCACACCCGAAAATCCATACATGCATCAACTTATAGTTGTGGTTAACGAGGCCCACCAAGGGTGTAACCCAGGTCGCTTGTCACTCATTTTGTGGCTGCTTTGACTTTGTCGCTAGTTTTATTGTAATAAATGTCGCTGTCACTTTTAACCCATAACACAAATCGTAATTTGTCGCTTTTTCCCAGTCAGAAGCTGTTGTTTGTCGCTCTTTTTTAGATAGTCTGTCGCCTCTTTTTAAGGAATGTCGCCTGTCGGTCATAACCCCTTGGCCTTGGTGGGCCTCGTTAACGCTCGCCACCTGGTGCAGCCCTCTGACCACTGAGCTGTGCAGTCCAGTTACCAAGCATTAACCAGAAGTTCTTGTAGTATTAGGTGATGCCTGAGTGTTAGGTATATGTGTAAATATCAAGATTTTAAGAACAGGATGCCCAAAATCCTGAGAAAGATTATTTCACCAATTGTAATTTTCTCATTACCTAAATGTGATATAACAGTTCCCAGCGTGACAAGAGATTTGTTAATCAGTCCACCTTCCTTCAATCTCTCTCCTGTGGCACCCGTAGCATCTGCTCGCTCACTGAAACACAAGAGACTCGGTCTTTAGGCTCCGTTTTTCAACGTACGTGTACGCACAGAAAACTTCAAATGACTTACATAGAGAACTACACAGACTCGTTTTATGTGGTTATTTAAGAAACATTTCAATTGAGTGTGCACAAAACATACCTGTACATTACCAAAATTTTGCAATAAACAAATTTTTCAACAGAGAAACAGGTATGAAGTAAGCATGGAATTTGAAAAATATATTGTGGACCCTTTTGATAGATAAGAGAAAACCTATATCAGGCATTCAGGCTCAATAACTTCACGCTTTTTCATACATATCTAGTTCATAATTTTCATCAGGAAAGACGAATCAAAAACGGAAATTGGTTGAAAAAATATGAAATTTCTAACCTTCCTGCTAGATCAACAAGGTTGATTTTACTAACAGTTTCACTTGGCATGTCATGGTCAAATTTTGCCTAAAAAAAGAAAGATCTTGAAAACCATACAGAACTTTGGTATATGTGCCGGAAAGGTGTAAGAAACCTAGACAATACCTGGGTGAAACTGATGGTGAATATAGCATGAGATCTGCTGCTGACGTCATTCATGTTTGTACTTGCTGTCACTCTGGTAAAAATAAAAATTAGATTTTTACAATTTATTACAGAGTTCAAACAAGCAATGTTTTTAATTTGTGAATGCTGTCCGGAAGTAAATCGAGCATAATGTAGATGACAATTTAAGCCGTTCTTGTTTGAAATCATGAACATGAAATTGCACTGACTGCCATTCTTGATTTTGTCAAGCAGACTGCTGACACCATAATTAACAATGTAATTATGTATGTGTGACATTGAATTGGCAAAAATATTGCTTGCTTAAGCTCTTGAGATATTGACTCATTTCATTACTACAAAGACTGACTGCTGGAGCAATTACTAGACAATTACATGTAATATAACCCAAAACAATATAATTACAGAGAAAACCTATTTATTAACAACACAAAAATGTCATGCACTGTTCTTCCTACCTCACATTACTGCCTTCAATCATCAGGTTATGAATGCATTCGAAGTCTGAGACAAGATGTTTTGTGAGATCTATACAAGACAGAAAAGTTTGTGAAGTTGTTTTTCAGAATTGCTTGCAGGAATGCATACAGTGATGAATTCAAGTCGATCTAGTAGGCTGAGGGCTGACCACCAGCTGAGGCATAGTGTCTATGAGAGAGCTACAGCAGTCTTATATTCTGGGTAAACAGCTTCTGGCACATGGTCCAAAGACTAGCTGATAATAGGGGAGGAAGTGGTCAGTGGGGAATATTATAGTACCTTGAACATAAATGCCGTCCCTTGGATGCTCTCGAACCTTCAGATTGTGTTGTGTCGTTCCTTTTGCTGGAGGACGAAGCAGGTCTCTCACATGTTCCTTATAAATCTCTAGATAACTGAATATATACATAAAGCAATGTAAACATACAATACCTATAGAGTGTAGTGTGTCCTCATTTAATTTCTTTCTTAGATGGTCTTATAACATCAGATAAGTCAAGGGAAAGTGTAGGGATTGAATGGGTTAAATGAAAACTTATGCACATCACACAGAAAGAAAAGTATTTTTGAAACTTAATTCGCACCTCACTTCTGTTCGATATGAAACCCCTTGGTCTTTGTTTGCATTCATTTTTGAAAACATTGCCTAGATATGACAGAAAATTAATAAATACCTCTTTTACAAGCTGATGAGAAGCTAATGGTCATTTATTATCAGTTATAGTTACAATAACTATTTTCTAAATTTATTACCTCACAAATCCTGGGAATAAGACCAGGGTCTTTTTGCTGCAAAGAGAGACTGTGTTATGGAATGACAAACAACATGAACAATCATGGACAATTATATCATCAACTAACTGGGAGAAATAAAATCATACCGAGTCTCCCATCATCGTGTATGTCTTGCCTGAACCTGTCTGGCCATATGCAAAAATACACGCATTGTATCCTTCAAATGCTGCTTTTAGAATCATTGAACCAAGATCATTAAACACCTAAAACATGTACAACACATATCAAATTGCTTGACTTGGGCATAGTGAACAAATTCAATATGCGCTTCCAGAAAGTACATCCCATTGGTTATAGAGCCTTGTTTTTATGATTGAGAGATTGGGTTTTAAACTTTTAACTAATGTCACCAGAGGCATAACTAGAGCATTAATTGCCCAGGTGTGTATATTCATATATTCGTGTTCTGCCCAACAAATTTCTTTTGAATTTCTTTGTTTTTAAGTTCATTTCAAAAGAAATTTGTCGGGCAGAACACGAATATATGAATATACACCCACCCCCCAATTAATGCTCTAGTTATGCCACTGAATGTCACATACACAAAAATGAGGCTCTATAGCCAAAGTGATGTACTTTCCGGAAGGCTGTATTAAAAAGTGTTTTTTTAACAGCATGGTTTAATGATAATAAACTTATATTTAATATAAACATGGGCTAAAATTTAACAATTATCCAAACAATTCCATTACATAAGCCCTGAAGGAATTTTATAATGTGTACCTAATATATAAATTTAAAAAGCTTTTTCCAAACAAAAAATATAATGCCTGACTTATTCTAAAATCAGATCAATTAGAATAGTTAATATTCAATTGCAACATTTATGTAACAAATTTATGAAAATCATCTCGAATTTATAGCTTTTTACAGCCAGTCAATTATTGCACAATCATAGCACATGATAAAATATAAATGTACAAATTCCTTGGGATATGACAGCAGGATGACAAATTCCGGAAATAACTAGAGCTAATCAAATATTCCACAGACCATCATAACAAAGTCAAAAGATCATGGGGGATAGACAAAATATTATAAAAAGACAAGCGAGATTTAAAGAGCTATGTTGACAACATGACACTTACTGTAATAATATAGCATTGTAATGTACACTATTTTATTGAATTTACTTGGAAGGAAAGCATTTTTTCTATGTTTAAAAATGAAAGTAAAAATATAATTATACCCTTTCTTGATTCGAGTAATTTCTGCTTCGTCGATCAGCAGACCAGTACGAATGGTCAAATGTAAACTCTTTAACTTTTTCTACCGAACTAGCCTAAAAAGGGAGATCAAAGTGCAATATTTAAAACGATATATTACCGGTAAAATAAAACGAAATCACGTTCATTTTGAAACAAACTTGTCCATGACCCGATCACGCGACGTAGTACTTACTTTAAAGTTCGAAATTTTCGTCTTTTTTCCCTCCATTTCGATGATAATTGAAGCAGCTTTTTCGTTTTCCCTATATTGAGAAAATTACGTAGTAATATAAACCTCTAACCATAAATATAGTTCAAAATATTGCGCCAAAAATTTATACACACCTTTGGTTTAGAGGCCGTACGCGAACAGCAACTTTTACCGACGCCATTTTGATGTAAATATTATCAATACAACTTCAGTGAAGCTTTGGTTATAATCGTTAAATAAGAAATGTTTTTATTGTGGTAATAAATCGTCGTTTTTTCCAACGAATGAGATGTAATTTATTAAGCATTTTTGTCATTTAAGCCATATCGATAACATATGATCACTATATCATGTATGTAGTTCCGGGGGTATAATATCCTGCATATAATTTAATTGTTCTACTAGTGACGCAGCTCAAACTATGCGTCTATGCTCAAATCTAAACTGGAAAGGTTTGTTTGTGGTGCGAAGAAAAATTAATCAGACAATCTTGGGACCGTATCAGACGGTCCCAAGAGAATCCCTCGAAGTACAGGGACAACCGGCCCAACCACAAGTCACAACTCAGACCCTCTGTCTGCACAGTGAAAAAAAAATCACCCCCGGAATTTTTCTACCAGGCAATTTGTCTACATTTGCATTTCGACTGAATGACATTGTGACATTGAATGGATTAGCTTCTCGGAAATTAGGAAACGGAAAGATAACAAGCCATACTTCCTTTTATTTGTTTATATTTCAGACAAAAGGGACCTTCACTTTTGGGGATGGGAGAGTTGGGGCTGGGGGGACTCCAAACATTACGTCTGCGAAGAGAATAGACCTTTCCCCTTTTGAGTGAAATTTTGATCTAGACAAGTCTGGACAAAAATTTCGTCACAGCTTGAAAGAGCATCACAAAATTAGTAATATTCCGAAGTTTCGTTGCGAAATGTTGTAAAATGCGGATAATATAGCCTTGCGAAGTTTGCCGTTTTTAATCATTTTGTATTACAAACGGGAAATTGATAATCCGAGTTTGATCAAATTCACTCATAAGGGGAAAGGTCTAGGAAATTTTACACTTTACCGTACCGGAGTAATCACTGAATACATACGCCATCAAAACACTCCAATAAAAGAACGGAAAAACCGTCAGAACACACGCCATCAAATACTTGCGGTACGGTAAAAGTGTAAAGTACCCAAGGTCTATTGCACCACAGTTAAGGTGGAGTGCGACGGTGCTTGAAGCCAGAGTTCAAAACTGACACATGAAGACTCGACCAAACAGTAAAGTTACACAGTGGACTGAGGGAAACCAGGGAAAGCTAATATCTATGGCAGTTCCTGAGCTGATACTTTGTGAAGTGCAGCTGTGAAGAACATGCAATATTTTAGTTGAAATATTTGTATTATTATTCACAACTAAATAAATTTGTTATACAATTTGCGGGCTTGTGTGCATGGCGCAACTAACTGTTCGGTCTGTTCCTCATTGCTGAAGGGTATTAGATGGAAATTTTGTGTGCAATATTTATACATTTAAATATTAGACCGCCTAGACCAGGAACATTAGACCAGAACTATAGGCCCAGAGGGCCCTCTGGCAGGAATCCGGCAACCTGCGGCCCTGCGATCCGGTGTAGCGTCCCAACCAAGCGAGCCACAGAGGCCAGCTGCAGAACTCTATAAACCGCAAGTTCATGTATATATACAAAGGTGATGCCAATGTAAGATGTATGGGTAAATCAGATCAGGATTTCGGTAATTTCACTCGATAATTTATACTAGAGACGGATCATCCGTCAAGACGAATCATCCGTCTGACGGATGATCTGTCTAAGTATAAACACAAGGCGAACTATGTAGACGAACTATGTAGACGAACTATGCATGTAGACGAATTTGTCAGACGAAATAGAATCGCGCGATCACAACTGCATGGGAAGTTCGTCTGTGTATAAACGCGGGCAAACAGACGGATCATCCGTCAAGACGAATTACGCACGCAAGTTCGTCTAACTAGACGAACTATGCAGATAATTCGTCTTGACGGATGATCCGTCTGTTTGCCCGCGTTTATACACAGACGAACTAGAAGACGAACTACCTTTTGCTTGCCCAAGTTCGTCCAGACGGATGATCCGTCTCTAGTATAAATCCGGCCAATATATATAATATAACTAATTGTTGAAGGGATTGCAGATATAAATTTTAACTGTTCCTTACTCCTTAGTTAAAGTTAAATAATCACTCCCAGACAAAACGTCTTCGCTCAAAACGTCGAAGTTTGTTCTTTTTTTCGCAGCACAAGCCTGCAAATTATGAAAACTTGCATAATCGAGTGATGCGTCCGAAACAGTTTTCAAATTAGCAAGGTCTATGTTGTGGTCCACAACACTGGTTGGAAAGCCTGATCGTGCCACCTTGATAATTTGTTTTACACTGCAAGCAGGAAAATATATATAGTTGTCACCACTTGTTTTATCCTGCTAGCAGATACTTGTTTATAATAATGTTCATTTAAATTTGATAAAAAAATGTAAACAAAGTCAAAGATGATACGTGTGTGATCACCGCCACGCCGGCCAATACCGCCTCTTTGATCACAGTACGAATTTTAAAATTAAGTTTAGAAGGATTTGTTAGAAATTTCTGAGGAAACTGACTCGTTGTGTAACACCAAATCCTTCAAAACGTAAAATTTTTACCTATGGCTATGCAAAATTCCTACTGTGATCACTGAAACTTTGATAGGGGAAACCAGACTTGCAGTATGGTAGATCTTTTACCACAAACAAATTTTATTACTCCGCCAACAACACAACCAGAATACAAAATTACAAACTAAACAGTAAAAATCTTTTAATCTGACTTAAATACAGAACAAACTACGTAATACAAGGAATAACCGAATAAGTCCTCGGAGAAACTGAAGACGTTAGCACACTGTTGATAAATCCCTTGAATTCTTCAATGAATTGTCCATTTCTGCTATAAAAGTTAAAACTTCCCAAAATGCTTAAAGTAATAAAGAGTAACAGGTTATCTCAGCTGGATTCCACGATTCCACCCGACGCTTGAGGGCTCCCTTAGCAACATTGTAAAAGCACGCGTCAAGTTAGTTCTTTCATCCGTTCAAATTCTTCATTCATTTTCGTCCTTGTACGTCTCCGAAAGTTCTGATTCGCTCTCTTCATCGTCATATGGCTCATTTACGCCTGCATGGTCCATAAGTTCAACTAGAGATTTCTCGATCTGATCAATTCTTTTACCAGTCGTATTGAAACGTGTTACTATCGCGTCCTCTGTCTTGTTTAACTTGTCCTGTAGCTGTTGGAATGTATTTTGAATAAAAACTGTTAGTTCCCTCGCTGTAGTGGGACTAAAACTTGACGTTTCCATATTTAGCGATAAAGTAAGCTTTATTCTACACACTGAAAAGGTTTATCTCTAGACTCTTCGCTGTAAATTCAGCTGTGTAAGTCTACACCACAAAGTTCAAATTAATGATGAGTTTTAACAAAAGGAAGACGCTATCGCATTACACTGATTTACATTCGTAATTCCACACGACGCCTATGGTTTCCGGTTACAAAATTTTAACAAGTTTCACTCATAAATTTTTAATAGTTTCCCAATCAAATACTTACAAACTATTGCCAAAACAGTCCAAGGCAACGCAAAATATAAAACGCAAACAATTCAACACCTGACAACAATTTTGGAGACGCCGGCGAGTATACATTATGGATGAGTTTAATATGACTTATGGACATGTTGCCGAGTTACTGTCTCCTAGGTAACGACGCTATAACATCAAAATAAAATAATTTAACTACGGTAAATTTTAGTCGAAATTTGAGAAGAGAAGAAGGCTCATACTACGCTGTGTTTAAATATATTTAAAGACCGCCATTAATGGAGTATTTCCCGAATATTAAACCGAAACGCAAAGGTAAATCGTCCCTCACCTATTTGGACGATTCCGACATAATCCTCGATTCAGAAGGCAGCGAAATTCGTGAGGAGACGCACAGATCTTTACATTCGACTTTGAATGGACATCGAAGGCCTTTCAGCGCTGAGAGTTCGAACTGTAGTTCTGTGGTGCTGAGACGCTCCGAGGTAGGTTAGGCTAGTTAAAGTTCTACTATATTTCGGAGCAGTATAGTCTTACGTGTAACAAAACTAGTGATCTATACTCAGTTACAAAATGAAGAATTTATACCGTCTATTATAAAGATGAACAGGCTACGATACTATTGTTAAATTGAACCTTCAAAGTCATGCAAACATTGACGTTTTACGTGAAAGTGAACAATATTTTAATCTGAATAAACAACGTTTCTATCTTCTGTTTTAATCCGTAGTTGAAAACGACGGTAATATATTACATAAGAACAAGGTAGCAATATTCGTTCATTCATTTCGGCCTTCGCCCAAAACGCGTCTAAGTTTGTTTTGTATATTTCAGATATTCATTCATACCTCACAACATAGACGGTCATTTGAGTTCTAATATAATCTTATTGTTGTTTAGGCGGATTTGAAATTCCTCAAAGAACCTTTAAAACGTTCAGTAAGGTAAGAGTAAAAGTTAGTTTACAAATACCGAAATAACGTCCTTTTTAACATATACAAGTTGTACAACATTGTACTATATAACACACCTGTATTGACAAATAACAATTGCTAGAGCTTAGCTGAACATTTTCCAACTTATTTCATCAAGAGTTTTAAAATGAATACAGAATAAATTGGAATAGTTCTATCCAAGTTCTATCCATAATATCGTTCATGCTTTATGTAAAAAATAGGTACGCTAAGGGGTACATAACTGATAACTCGTGCTCGGGTTTTCGGCTGTGATTGGCGCGGCTTAAGACCACTGTAATCGGTGTTAAGCTGTTGTGATGTCCCAGCTTCTTTAATGCAATTCTTGTATGATCTTTGGAAGCGAAGTACAATAACTAAAAAAAACATTGCTTAGAGGACTGACAACGCCGCGATTTGAAATTGCCGTTTGAAAAACCTACTAAACTCTAAACAGTATTAGTCTTTGTTACTACTGAGATAAACTCAGTCTGAATGTTTCATTTATTTGTTTGATTTAGGGAAGATGGCAATCGGTTCCGTAACAGTGATTGTACTGTAAGTACTACTGAAAAAAAAAGCCATATACCGGACTATTTTACATAGTTAATAATAATCAAGTACAAGAGTAATAAGATAAACTGACAAGCCTGACTTGCTAACCAAACCAATGAACCAAAGAATAACTCATAACCACCAAATTATCACCGTGATTAGCCACGGGGCGGTTGTACGAAGGATGGATAGGGCTATCCAGCAGATAGTGATTTTTTTAAGCTTTCTCATGTCCGTTGACTGGTGTAACCCAGATTAAACTTTACTAAACTATCTTTTGCGGCATCTGGGTGCACTTCAGCAAAACGTTTTCCCAAGTGCATCAAGATATATAATCCATCAGACCATCTCTTTCAATTGTTGTAGTGTTCGAAAAGCTATTAAACTACAGATATGAACCCCACAATTAATAAAAGGAAAATTCAATTTATAAATGCTAAAGTTACTTTAGTATTTATAGATTGAATATAAATTGATCTTTCCTTTTATTAGTTGTGAGACTCAGTTTTATAGCTTTTCGAACACTTTTACAACGACTGAAAAAATCACAACTGGCTCCTGATTTATACCAGGGATGGTCTGATGGATTATATATCTGGACGCATTTGGGCAAAAGATAGTTCAGGAATAAGTTATGATCACTACCTCTCGAGGATAGCTAGCTGATAGTATCCAGGGGGGACACTTTTTCGAGAGGGGGTACACTCTTCCGGGGGAACAGTATCCGTTGTGACACCGAACCCTTACGTTACTGATATGTGGGGTTGATACCTCTAACACTCTTTCTAATAATGTCTACAGGGTGAAATGTCCCGTGCTAGCAAAGCAGAAAAACTTCATAATTTCCTAAAAGATCTGGAATCGCAACCTGAGGAAGAGACCAAGCAAGTGTTGAGAGAAAAATTGAATCGTTTGCAACATGATAAGGAAGCCCTAACGTTACAGGTAATTATGGTGAATATTTATGTGACGTCCTGTGCTCTATTCGTCTCTGTTAGATGTGAGAATAGTGCTTCAAGTTTGACTCTACCAAACACCGCAGGTTTTCGTCGGTGTTTTCCTCGATCTCTGCAGTAACACTGAGTACGTGGTGGCTCTTACTGGACCTCTAGGGAAAACAGTTTATTACTGATACAGCTATACAGCTTAAATGAAGTTAGTTCAGTTTTAGGTAATGTAAACGTTTCACCCTTAATATTTTATCAGCATACTAACTTAGCTTAACCTTATTTTTCCAGCTAACTCACTACAGAGAAAAAGCAGAAGTTACTTCGAGTGATTTTGCGGGCGAGAAGATTAGAACTTCCACTCTTCAAGACGAGGTTAGGGGAACCTTTTTGATATACTATACGATGGATATGATTTACTAGTGACTTTCCAGTACCAAAAGGAATAAAAAATTGTGTATGTTGTTTTTCAGATGAGAGTTTGTCAAATGAAAGTTTCTGAAAAAGAGCAACAAATAACTGATCTAAAGGTAAACTGGACTAGAACGGAGTGATCATCACAAACCAAGCCAAATGTTTGACCTAATCTTTTTATTGAGAGTCCGAGTTAAGCCATAGTGTTTTTGGCTTGCAATTTCTTTCGTGAATATCTTTCTTTGTCATCAAAATATATTTACACCAACAAGATATATATGGTCCATGTTTGTATTAATCCTAATACAAACGATGTATACCAGAGCTTCCTTTATTAAACAATGTCGTGCCTAAAACACCTGGATTCATGCCACTTCTTTACTTTCCAGTGCGAGATAGAAACTCAGAAACAAAATGGGGCAAGGCAGACGGCACTTATCCAGTCATTACGTCATCGTCTTCAAGAAGCAGAGGAAGCAATTGATGTGAAAGAGAATGCCGCGTCACGAGGTGACGTCACAATTGCGTCACTGAAGAAAGAAATGCAAGCTCAGCAAGATCGATTACAGCAAGCAGAGACATCGTTGAAACGAAGATTGAATGAAGAAGAGAACGCTGCTAAGAAGGCACACTCGTGGAAAAGCAAGGTAGGCAGGGGAGGGGATGTAGTCAGCTAACGCATGTCATTCAATACACATTTTCCGATAACTCACATGTACAGTTACTATTGTTCTGATGATGTATACAGCTGATTCAATTAAGATTGTCCTTCCAAACCCTTAAACCTTAAACTCTGAGCGCGCAAGGGATGATGGGTTTTCACCTATTAGGCCCTTAAATTCAGAAAATTGCCTTTGCAGCAAGTATGTTTTCTGTCGCGAGTCTTCTATATGTGTTAGGCATTCTTGCAAAGCCAAATTTCAAAGTTTATGAGTCTAAATAAGCAATACCCATTGTCCCTTGTTTGCTCACAGTTTAAGGTTTAAGTTTTTGGAAGGACAATCTTAATTGAAATAGCTGTATAATGCACTCGTTGCCATCCAATAAAATTCACATCGTCGAAAAAAAATAAAATTGACATAGTTACAATAAAATTCACTCGCATACCTCGCTACCATTGTTTTTGATAACAGAGACCAGATTTGACTTCCACTACCACTCAGTGGCTTAGTACGTATCTGAATGGTTAATGGTCCCTTAATGGTAGTGGTAATGGAAGTCAAATCTGAACCTCTCGAATGTAAGCACAGAATGGTGCAAAGGTAACCAAGCATCTAAACAGAATGGAGCAAAGGTAACCAAGCATCTAAATATGCTTACTACTTACTATGCTTGTTGTCACCCATTTCACATTGTCGGATAACTAACACGCCAAGTTACCACTGTTTAAGTTAATGTAAACATAGAATGGAACAGAGGTAACCAAGTACTTAAATAGACCTAATTAGATGACAAATGTTCGTTGTCTTCAATGGATGATTCCAGTTATAGACTAAATTTTGATCTTGGCAAGAAGAACAAAACCGATCACCACAGCTAGAAAGAGCATGTTAAAATTAGTAAAATTGCAAAGTTTGGTTGCGAAATGTTGTAAAAGGAGGAAAATATAGCCCTGTGAAATTTGCAAATTTTGTATTAATTTGTATTACGTGCGGGAAAATGCACCAGATTTTGGCCGAAAGTGTTGCATTTTCCTGTGCGTAATACAAATTAATACAAAATTTGCAAATTTCTTAGGGCTATATTTTCCTCATTTTACAAGATTTCGCAACCAAACTTTGTAATTCTACTAATTTTAACATGCTCTTTCCAGCTGTGGTGATCGGTTTTGTTCTTCTTGCCTACAACATCAAATTTAGTCTGACAGCTGGAATCATCCATTCACATCACACCTAGTTGAGTTTCCCCTGTAATATAATAACGTATAGCAATGTATAGAACAAAGGAAAAGTATTAAATAGACCTACTTAAAAGTTTACAAACTTTCGTTCTAGTATCAAGAACTACGTGATCAACTTGGTGTAGCTCTTCATGTCGATCTATCCGAAAGTAATTCTGAATCGACTGCGCGTCTTATCAAGAAGGTAATAGTTTTATATTCCTGAGTTTTAGAAAAATCATCATGATAGATTTCATTTTGTCTCTGGCTTTTGGTAATATATTACGATCGTCAGACATCATACCAAATTACTTTTTTATCTATTTAATTAAATATTTTATATATTTTATCAATAATTTTATCCAGGTGAATGACTTGGTTCGAGATAGACAAACATTGAAGGAGAAAGCAAAAAGCTTGTCCAACAACTTACAAGATAATGATCTGGAGTCTAAAGCAAGCAGGTACAGAATGGAAAGTGAGAGATGTGTTACCACCTTAAGTTGCGATGAAACATAACTGGATTGATTGGATGAGATAAGACTATTAACGAAATTTTGGAGTCAATTTTATATGTTTGCATAATATGCAATTGTGCTCCTACTTGTTCTTTTAAATCGTAGTCTCAGATTATTTTAAAGACTAAGTATACCTCAAGTCTTCTTCAGTTTGAACTAGCTCAAGTACGTGTCAATTATCCCTGGAGTCCCAGTGATGTACGCACGTAAAACGCACAAGTTGAAACAAACTTGCAGCAGACTTGTAGCAATGCTATTCCAACAACTTGTCAACAGGATGTGTTCGCACTGCTTGTTCCCAGCTTGTTGACAAGTTGTCAACGGCTTGTTGACAACTTGCTATAAGGTTGTTGAGCTCAACAGACTTGTTACAAGTCGTTCCAACAACTTGTTATATCAACCTGCAATTCAAAAAGTCAACAAGTTGTGAGTAACAATCTTGTAACAACTTGTGTTGACAACCTTGTAACATCCTTGTTATATCATGGCTGTAACAAACTTGTTAGCACAATCTTGTAACAAGGCTGTTAATGCCATCAAGCTTGTTACAAGTTGTTAACAGCTTGTTCCAAACTTGTTACAACAAACTGGTAACAAGCAGTGCGAACACAACTTGTTGGCAGCTTGTGAACAGACTTGTTCGCAGACTTGTTACAAGCTGTGCGTTTTTACGCGTGTAGTTCAGCTCAGCAGACTTGTCATAAGTTGTTCCAACAACTGAAGTTTAACAAATTTGTCAACAAGTTGTGAGCGACAACCTTGGTGCAACTTGATGAAATAACAGCATTGTTACAACTTGTTGACAAGATTGCTATACAAGCCTTGTTGCGAACACATCTTGTTGTGAGATTTTTACGTGTGTACAGTTAAAGATCTTGAATTATTTCACCTTGCTAATCCTCATAACGAATTCATGTTTTACAGAGAGACCATTATGCGTCTGGTCGCGGAGGTTGGTGACGAGAAGAAGCAAGCTGAGAAGCAACAACATATAATAGGAGATTTAACCCTGGAGAAAGATTCCCTGCAACAGAAAGTCCGGGAACTTGAAGTTGACTTGGAAAACGCCAGGAATAAAATGAAGACAAGTCAAGAGGCCTGGGCTCTAACACGAGATAATCTACACGAACGAGAGGAAAGGTTAGCCGAATACAAATGAGTACAAATACAGAACTGTGGTTAAAAATGTGAGCGCTGTAGAAGACTCAACTATACTTGAAAAATACAAAATCAAGCCTTTTCATACTTTTAGATTACATTCGCTGGAACATTCTCTACAAAGCACAAAATACACAGAACAGACAGCACAGACACAGGTACGTTTGTTTTATTTGGTATGTTAACAGCTGTAGGCCTCCTCCAAATAAACGAACAAAAGGCTTTCTGAAGAACGAAGCAACGTTCCAAACGGAGTTAATGAAACTCGGTCATTCACTGCATAAAGACCCGTTTACACTTCCATTTTTCTTCTTATGAATGTTCTGAGTTATATGGTAATGTCTAAAAGGAATGGACGAAAGGTAGTTTACGAGATGGTTCCAAACGTTTGCGTTAGTATTAGTGTGGGTTAGGATTAGGGTTAGGTAAGGTGTACCATTGTGCCATTGTTGCAAGCAGCTGGTAGTTGATTCTTTTACGTTTTAATGATCTTAAAAACTGGCGACCATCTTGAAAACCTGCCTCTAGTCCATCCCCTTTAGCCACGACCCTCCCTTGAACATTCATAACTCGTCCACTTGTTCACATCCATCAAAAGAAGAAAATCGCAGCAAACATTACAGCAAAAACTGCACGTGTGAACAGACAGTTTGTATAAGTACTTCAGACGCCGTGTCAATCACTGTTCCAAGAAACTGCAACTTGCAAGGCTACTCTTTTGCCTTACACGTCTGCGCGTAGATGAATTTCGACGAACTATATCAATGTTTATGTATCCGTTAAGAAGTAATAACTGTAAACTTTATTTGGAAAAACCTAAAACAGACTTCATGAAGAAAACGTTTTTATATCGAGGTGCTGCATCATGGAACAATCTTCCAAATGGTGTTGCCAACAACTATATATAGAGCTCTCCATAAGTAACTTCAAAACTTTAATCAACAACTATTTCACCGATTTGGAGAGGAATAGTGTGTGACAACCACTTGTGGGGCGGATTTTGATTCGAAGGAGTAAGTTTTGGGTCTGGGAGAGTTAACATAACATACTATTTCTAGTTATATATGTGATTCAATCTAAGTTATATATAGTGTTCGCTGGTCTTTCTTTTTATATATATATTTGGTGTGTAATAGATTTTTCATATTTGTAAATATTTTAACGGTCCCTTGAAAAGCAGTTTAAACCGTGAAGGACCACCGTTATTAAATAAGATGAAAAATAATGTTTCTTCTTTTTTGTTTCAGCTCTCAAAATTTCGTCGCCACTTAGCGGAGATGATTGAGTGCGAGGAATCAGAAGCTGATATCTTACATCACGTCAAACGTTTTTCAAAAGAATCTCGCGATGTGAACGCTGTAAGCTTTTTTTATGAAACTGGTTAAGACCGGTGAGCTCTCTATATATATCTGGAGCGAGAACTTCAGTCATTCGGCCTATGAAAAAAGTGAAGCCAAGATGGCGGAAATTGACGTCCAATAACTACAGTGTGAAGGTCGTAAACAGTTTTAACATTTTTCCCAGCTAAACAAGTTATCAGTTCATAAAACCATAGTGTTATTCTTTAAATCGATGTCAAAATACGAACTTTCGGCACACTCCTTGCCAGCTTCGTGTGGCTTCACTTTTTGGATTGTCTTGAGTTCTCGGTCCAGTTAGATCGTACATATCAGAGAGAGTCAAATTCAAGGACTTTTCAAGGACATTCAAGACCATGTAGGCCTATCAGCAATTCAGCAAATTCAAGCACTAAACACTGAAAAGAAAGCGTTAGAAATCAGTACAATGTCACATTGAATTGTCCGAAACGCAACTTTAATGAATTTCAAACAGCTTTGTCTGTTTGTCAGAACAGATATGATCATGCCAAATCAATTCAACAAAATGTCCGTTTTTGAATGTCAAATAATTTCAGAAAATATCCATAAACGAAGACGAATTCAAGGACTTTCAAGCACTTCTTTACAAATTCCAGGACATTCAAGGCCTTGAATTTTTGTTTTCAAATTCAAGGACATTCAAGGACTTTCAAATTTTGTACGAACCCTATTATATATATATGGAGCTCACTGGTAAAGACTGATTTACATATAGCATACAAATGATAAGATAGATCCACACCATTTTGGTCATGACTGCTGCGAAAAAATGGTAACCAGGGTTTACAGGGTTTTTAAAATGTTTTTCAGATAAGAAAATGAACAGTTTCGCCTTATATTTCTCGACGTATTCTCTTTGTTAGAAAGTGGAGAACCTGAAGATCAAACTCCGCAATGCGATGGAAGAGTTAGAAGGACAACGGAATATTTGTAGGACGACATTGCGACGAGCTGTTGAAGCAGAGACTCAGATGAAGGATATGAAAGAGAGAAGTTCAGGCCTTGAAGGAGAGTTATTATCTTTTGATGTCGAACGTGATCAGCTTCGGGAAGACAGAAGGAAGGTAAAAGAAAATTTGGAAATTTTTTAAACTTTTAGGACCGAACCGGGAGCAGTTGTGACAAATCCAATTATAGGCATGAAAGGGAGTTGAATCTGTAATTCCGGTGCAGCTAATAGTTAGGAGACCATACTACGGTATTTATTGATTTATTGTACATGCAGATTGCAACTAATTTTCCTCCTAAATTCATTGAAGGGCCCCAGCTCTCAATAGCCATAAATATTTATTTCTCATTAATACTTCTAGTACATGTTATTCTGTGAAAATCTGGCGAATACGATGAAACTGGATGAAATTGCCCAGGATGCTGGTTTGGACGTGAACGGCGAAGCTCTGTTGGCTAGAGCAAAACAACTTGTCAAACTTGAGGTAAATAGAGTCTATATTGAAACAAACATATAAAGTGGCATACAGGCAAAGAGATGAGAAAAGAGACGAGAAGACAAACAGGATGGTAGTTCAGCAAGCGGGCAAAACAGGAAGATAGGTATAGGCAAGTGCACAAACAGGACAAACAAGCAGATGGCAAGCAAGTGGGCAAACAAGCAGATAGAACAGCAAGCAGGAGAACAAGCAAACCATATTGAACTTACTGATGATAAATGGATATTTCCAAATTACAGTCAAGTAGTCAACTGTGAACAATAACCTAAGAGTGAGTCCCCTTTTTACTTCAGAGCGAGGCATTGAACGACCGTAGCAGCGCAATTTACAGCCTTCAACGGAAAATAAAATGGTTTAAACAACAAGCTCAGAGCAAAGACCTACAGCTTGGTTTACTGCAGAAAAAACTCTCCAGTTTAGAAGATACGGTAAAAGACAAAAGCCGTGTTGAAGTAGAACGAGACGAGTCCTCCATTAAATTTAAGAAACTTCAGAAGCAGTGTGAAAAATATCGCGGAGAATTGTTGCAAAATCAACACCTGGTAACAGATTTGAAAGCTCAACTCTTGGAAACTAGTGAATTAAAGGTAGGAGTGCACATTCATCAATTTTCTATGCCACACAGAATTACACAAAAATAGTGATCGGTCGACCACTGGGACTAAACCGTACCCTACATCCGTAGATGGTCTAGAAAACAGAAGATGCGAGTTCTAATCCAGCTGAAGACAACGAATTTTACATTGTATTCTGCATGCAGTGTCAGAATAATATGAAACTAGTTAGTCTTGATTGACTCTTTTCACACGAATGTCTCAACTGCAGCTCACGCTGATATTGTTTTGATATCGTCTTGAATCTAGTTCCATGTATTCTAACCTATGATTCTAACCCAACCTGTTAACATTCCCTGGTGGAGGAAACCAGGAAGTCATGAGAAAATTCACGAATCACGACTTTTGGTTGCGCGCTGACTGACTCTTTTTACATGAATGTCTAGATTCCGGAACGAAAATAAAGCCCGAAAGGCGGTTGCTATGGCGACTGTGCCACCATTGCTTTATAAAATCTTCCTTAAGGTAGCTCTCAACAGTTTTCTAACACAATGTTTTGGTTTTTATAGCGAGAAAACGTGGAACAGAGTCGGAAGTTGGACGATCTTGAACGTCTTGTGGGTAAGCTTGCTAAAAGCAAAGAGCGAACGACTCGTCAGCTGCAAGGAATGAAGCGTGATCTACACCATACCGAGGTGGATGCCAAAGAAGAGAAAGCTAAGAGAAGTAGCAGTATGAGTCAACTGATGGTTGAACTGAATACCATCAAAGAAACTTTGCAAGAGACACGAGCCAGAGAGAAACAGGTGAGAGGTTTACAGGGGTACTGGGTTATCAGTATCTTTGATACGACATGAGGGAAGGGGGTGTGATGGCGAATCCCCGTGGAAATTTGAAATTTAGACTCTTTGCCAAGACTACTTTTGGATATTTTGTCATATCATCATAAGATTTATGTTATAAAGCAAGAAACCTTTCCCTTGACATTACTGCGGTAACGAAATATTTTGGCTTTAAATAATCTCGAGAAATAATTTCGAGAGATTACCTAATCATGGGAATTACACAATCCCTGCGTGACTGCAAGACACGAGTATGGAATTTGATTCAGTTTCTCGCTCTAATTCACATTATCTCTCTCCTGTGTAGCTACTGGACTTCAGACAAGTGCTTGCCAAGTTACTGGGTCTGGACGTGAACAACCTCGCCGTACCAGATTTCGAGATCATCTCTCGTCTTGAGCGCTTGGTCCAGGCTCATCACGCGCATACCGTCACAACACACAGCTTGGAGAATAGTTTACATGACATGGATGCGCGTTATCGAGCTGGATACGAAGACGCCATGGCTATATTGAAAAATCCTAGAACTTGAGAGGATTTCCAAGAAAAATGCATGAAAAATTACAAAACCTATTAAGAGGTTTTCAAAGAATTTGGGAGCCTTTCAAAAGAAAAATGTTCAAAAGCCACGGAACTTTAAAGGTTTTCCAAGAAAAATGTTGATCCAAGAACTTAAGAAGTTTTTAAGAAAATATTGAAAAATGCAAGAAACTGAGGGACTTTCAATGGAAATATAGTATAAACTAGGATATTATTTATAACCAATTGTATAATTACATAAACATACACAAGTATAGCACAAAATAATAAGCGCTTGCTCCCGTATAAGTGTCACCATTTCTGATGTATGTTCACCACCATGTTCGGAAGTGACGTCATACTTACCAAATGCTAGCCCAAAATTGACCAAACATGCCAAAGCTAGCTGAGTAAAGGGCCAAAGCACTCTGGAGCCTAGGTCCAGGCTTAACCCAATGTCCGTTATATGAAGTTTCTGAAGACAAAACTAAACACAGCAACTGGATTTCTATTTCGGCGTTACTTATTTCGAGATGGATTGCCTCCAACATTGTGAGGATGCATTGCTGTGACCTATCTGTTCAAAATATATATAACAATATTTACAATATCATGTTGTACATAATTCATCAATAAAAATTATTTAAATGACATGTTTTTGAGGGAGGAATATTTAAATGATTAACAGATAACATACACAATAGTTTCAACTTCAATTCACCATCTGTACTACAAGGGATCATACGAGACGGGCTAGCCAGAATAATCAGGCTGACTAATTTCTTCCATGTTTTTGGGGCTCTTTACCACTACATGATCCTGGTTTGGTGTGACAGGATGGAAGGCGAGATGGTTTTGATGTTTTTAAATAAGTCAGTATAGGCTTAAACGAATGTTCAAACGTCAGATAAAAGAGCTCAAATGTTGTCGAGAAGACCTCGTAGTTGAAGAAGATTATTATTGCTGCTTGAACAACCGTTTACAATTATACTATAATCTAAATGTAGTTTTGCTTGAATCCTGCACTGTGACTCATTTCAATATGTCAACATTATCCCGCCTTTCATCTCGTCCCAGCAAAGCGGGATCATGTAAACAGTCACAGCGGATTCTAAATTTTCTCTTGCGGCAAAGGCTTTCATGACATGAATCAGCCCCGATAATCGGGGCTCGCTCGCCACGTATAAACAGCCCCCAAAAGGGATTTTTAAAGAACAAGTCAGGCTATGTTTACACGATCCCTCTTTGCCAGGACGAGATGAGGAATAATGTTGACGTATTGAAATAAACCACGGTTCACAATTCAGGAAAACTTCATTATTTTTCTCGTTATAGATTACAATATTTTTGCAGAAAGGTTGTTCAAGCAGCAACAATAATCTTCTTGAACTATGAGATCTTCTCGACAACATTTCAATTTTTTTAACCAACATTTGAACTTTCGTTTAAGCCCAGTGACTTATTTCAATACAACAAAAGCATCTCGCCTTCCATGTAAATAGCCCCTTAAAGGTGGTCGTATACTTCCAACCCCCCCAAACCTTCCCCTCCCCCCCCCACAAAAAGAAGTCAATTGATAAATATTGGTTGAAAGAATCTGACCACAATAAGCTTCGTTCACCCCCTCCACGTCCAAGCACGCTCCGCGTTCACTGTTTATCCCAGAAATTATCACAGTACATGTCAATGGCAAATATATCTGCAGTATTAAAGCGGGTCTATCTTACATGATCTTGTCTCTATTAACAGACAACCGATAGTTCTAGAGTAGGTTGGTGATAACACAACATGTAATTGAACTGACTATATAGACATATAATGGATTGACATGTGGCATAACGATTCATGGCGCTGACTAAAAAATGAACCAAAGAATTTGAGAAATACTACCCACTTTTATTGAAGAATACTACACGGACTGGATGTGCACGTTTGAGATATTAGCGAGTTTAAGATAGCCCGATTTCGGTGTACGGGTACGAGTAGTGTCATCTTGTTTACTAGTTTTTACTGATGTCTGTAATTCAATCATACTTTTTCTGTTTTCTTGCAATAGACAATGATATAATGCGAAAAATGTGACCTCAATTACGCGTAAAGGTACAAACATCGACGAAAATATTGCTAACCAAAGTCATGCTACCCGTACACGCGTACACCGAAACCGGGGTATCTTGAACTCCCTATTACTTTCAGGTAGTTCAGACACAAACCTGACGGCAGCTTATTGCAGAATACTACCTGAACTAAACCTACACGTTTGAGAGATCGTTTTCAGGTAGTTCAGGCACAAACCTGACATGCGGCGGCTTATTGTAGAATACTATCTACACTGAACCTCCACGTTTGAGATATCGTTTTCAGGTAGTTCAGACACCGCAAAGTTTTACTCGGTTTTACCGTTGTTGTATAATATGAATAAAAGTCAATACTCAGTGGTTTTCGTAATTATTATGGGTAAATAGAGAAGGAAAATTATCATATCGCTTCCCTCCCATAAAAAAATACATCTCAATTTGTTTGCGTTGAAACAAACTAGAAAACACCTGCCAACGAAAACAGTGGGATTACTATACTATTAATTGAAAACTCAGTCGAACTCAGGATAGAGTGTTAATAACATCACCAAAAATTTGAATTGTAACATAAAACATAATACTCCTCACACATACATTAATAAACGAAAGCCAAACGACAAAATTGGAATCCTTTCTAAAATCATTAATAATCGAACGAATGAGAGTTATGTTCCGATAATATTGCATATGTTTATCAGTCTTAATCCGTTAGTGATCATCTACCAAGAGTAGCAATTTTATCCAACCCAGTAATCAAGTGTACATATTACACTAACAAGGAGAAAATTTGTAAGTATGGGTAATCCAATATCCAGAAGTATGAGATTAAATTGAAGGTTGATCAGGTTTAATAAACCTAGACAACTCTCAGAGAGGATTTTAATATTTCTTCAATAATAATCTATACATCTTCCCGACGCCCTGCTGTCAATACTTGCAACATATATACGACGCTTTTTAAATGGCAAAGGAGTTAATATTAACCCTAGATTTTCAATATAGCCAGTTTTGACAATACCTAATTTAGCTTCCCATAAGTATAAAATACACTTTCATCCATATAAATAAAGTTATATAAAATCATTCAGCAAAACAGAGTACAACTGGTCGAAACTTCAATCTGTCTTTTTTTCATAGTTCTTTCTATAATTTTTCTGAAAGTCTTTCTGAAAGGTAAATTTCCTGCTATCAAGTACTCTTATCTTCTCAACAATCCATCAAAATTCTGTTACATTTGTTGTCTCTCGTTCGTGCCACGAGTCGTTTTTTGAGCGGCTTTTAGGCAACGGTCTTTGGTTGGGAGAACGTCCTCGCAGCCGGCACAGCACACAGCACAGTATAAAAGCTGTAACTATGAATAACAAGACACCAACAAAAATAATGATAAGCGAAACGGAGCTGGAATCTGCCATGGGCAATAATGATGTCCCTCGTTCTGCGTGCCTTTATTTTGTCGTTAATTAAACAACTCTTGTGCACTTCCTTAACACCAACTTAACACAACTTTCCCACCTTTTTGACGTATGTGATTCTCTTCAGGACGCCCTCTTGGTTTCTTGGAACAGTCTACGATCCTTAAGTATACTCCTAAGAGTTGAGTTTCTCAGCATTACAAGATATCTGAAGTATAATAAAGCGCCCACATACAATTGCAGCTGTTCGAGACGGCAATGATTGACAGTGTGTTTATAATCCGTATCGCCCGTGTGCGGATATGAACTGACACAGCCGCGCTCGGTTCTCACATAGCCATAAAACGCTTGTCAATCGAGGCAAGCGTTCGGAATCACGCGGCCAGGAAATACCACACAAGTCGGTGGAAAATCATGGCAATAATCATTAAGTAGGTCTAGAGAGAGTTTTGAATGAAGAATTGGATTGACATGATCCAGCTTGGTTCTCGAATTGCCATAAGACGCTTGTCAATCGAGACAAGCGTTTGAGATCACGCTCAAAAAATACCGAACAAGACAATAGAAGATATTGGATTGAAAGAGAAGGATTCAAATGGAAGAGTGGACGTACAGGTATGTAAAATCTTAGCCCGGTAAGAACAATATACAATTACCAAGAAAGTCAGGGACATTTTACAGGGGTCCTTGGGTGATAAATTGGACATTGTTTCTTGAAGTTTCCACAGCCGCATTTTATAAAAGCTGAGTTCATTGAGCCAATCACTGAAAAAATTGTGAAATGTATACTATGAAATTTGCAATTGCACCACTAAATCCATAGCATATGCATATCCATACTCATGATTTCTTTCTGTGTTGGTGTAATGTACTCAGGTGAATATGATGCTTGTGATGTTACTCTGAGTGTATATCCACACCAGGCAAGCTTGAAAAATATGCCTGACCACGGTGGGATCCGAACCTACGACCTTTGGAATAAGTGGAATACTAGCACAATGCTCTGCCAACTGAGCTACGCGGTCTGGTCGGTTCGAGTATGTGATATTTCGGAACAGAATCTAGTTCGTTCGAAGGAACTACATTCTGCTCCGAAATATCACATACTCGAACCGACCAGACCGCGTAGTAGCTCAGTTGGCAGAGCATTGTGCTAGTATTCCAAAGGTCGTAGGTTCGGATCCCACCGTGGTCAGGCATATTTTTCAAGCTTGCCCGGTGTGGATATACACTAAGAGTAAGATGACAAGCATCATATCCATACTATTTCCATGACTATATCCATAGTATGAAAATTGCAATAAGTTTGAAAATTGTATTTCCATACCACTTCCAACGAAGATCCATATTATGTCCATAGTAAGAATTTTCGAAAAAATTGCCAGTGGACAAGGAGTTGGCTCCTTGCTAGCGGTTCAGGCCCTGCAGGCACATGCAATAACACAATCAGTAACACAAGTAGTACTCATAGACTCTTATACATACTACTTGTGGCTGATGTTACAGATTGGAGAACGAAGTGCAGCAGATCTAGTCGTATTTAACTAGGATAACGGAAATGGATAAATTGAATTTAACTTTTTGTATCTGACTGGAGGAACAGTTCGCGTCATATTTGTGGAAAGATTAGTAACAAATATTTGATATTTTGAGAATATTTTTTAAATTTTAATTATTGTTGACATGTTGTAATGTGAGATAACTGATAAGAATGATATCTATGCATAAAAGTATTTTTGATATCTGATATAGACACTATATTCCATAATCATGACCACTGCCCAGCCACGCGTATTTGTTATTTACTTTGAGGCTTGATCAGAATAGCCTATCGTGCAGTCCCCCGAAAAGCCCGAAAATTCGCGGTTGGATATGGATTTTGCCCTAGACATCCCGCCCGCGAATTTTAGGGCGGCAAAATAAAGGTCTGTGCTCAGGCTGCCCTGGGAACTAGGATGTGCAGTCCCATGACATCGTCGCAAACGATCGATGTTTTGAGCCTGTACGCAGGTTAGGATCAGAATGGCTACCGGGTTTTAGATAAATAGGACCGACTCTTAACACTATTTTTATATTGAAATGTTAGATCAGTGGCTCATCACAGAAACATATGTCAGTTGACTTCGCTTCCAGCTCGAAACACCGGAGTCTTCAGATAGTTTCAACCAAAACAACGAAAGCGTAATGTCCTTTACAATCACATTCTATCCACCACTACCTACAAGTAACCCCAGAAATACACTCGCCTACCTTCTAGCTAGCTTGCTTGCAATACAATTGTCAGTTTTTCCAAGAACGTTCTGCCTGGTGTGTTTTCATAGTTCAGAGAATGATAATTCCGTGAAATTGATGACCACTTGGGCTCGTTTTCCAAGATTCGTGGAAAGGGTCCACCATATTGTGGAGACTTGGCCTTTATTTTGATCTGTGATGGGGGCGAGATCTCGATAAGGACTTCCCTACACAAACAAAACTCAGACGTTCAGTGTTTTACATGATCATATGCTTGGCGCCATAGAGATTATAAATAACACTAGAGGAGGCAGAGGTTAAAATTTGGGAACGAGGCTAATGGGGGCAAATTTAGGTCCCGGATAAAAAACATGCTCTCATTGGCTAAATTGAAACTCCTCACCAATGAGTACACATCCGGGACTTGAATTTGCCCCCCAATAGCCGTATTCCTTTCTTCCTGATGTCAAGATTGCGATGCCTCCTCTGCTCAGTGATTACAAGCCTATATTCACTTCGCCTTCGCCTATACTTATTTCATGACGTTATGTCGTTATCGGCTGGAAACGGATTTTAGTACATACAATATACCTTTCTTTTTCGGGACAAGACAACAACAGTCCTACGAGATGTTCTTCGCGTTCTGAAGTGGCTCGAGTTCCAAGAAAAGTATTGTATCTAGCATTCCAACCAAGACGTAGTGCCATCTTCTTGGCGATGTCAAGCATAAACAGTTGTACCTAATGTGAAAGACAGAGGTTGACTGACTGGCTGGCGGATGGGTGGGCTGGTCAGCCAACCGACCGCCCGACCGAGATTAGGCATGAGATGAGATACACTTTTGAAAGATTGGTAAACTATATATTACTACATTTTACTTCTTCTGGTAGCTCGTTCCAAACTTTTGCTCCCAAAAAGGAAAAAAAACACAGACAGGCTTACAGACGGACTAACCTGGTTTCTCAACATCAGTTTCAGTTCGTGAACATCAGCGGAGTAGGTCACACCAACGCCATTTTGTTGAGTGACATGTACCGTATCGACATCAACCTTGACTGCCAAACACAATCTAGAAAATGACAGTGACGACTTTGTTATATGACTATAGACTATTAAAGGAATAGCGAGGGATGTCGCGAGACTTTCGGAAAGCGTAAAAATACTCGAGCCGCAGGCGAGTGTATTTTTACGCTTTCCGAAAGTCTAGCAACATGCCAAGTGCATCATGGATCACGCTATCCTGCTTGGAAAACCATTTGGTAATTGTTTTATAAATAACCATACAGTGAAACAATGACATTTTGAGAATCCCGCGAAGGCATTTTAATTCCTCGTGCAGGATAGCCTGATCCTGCACGGCTATTGACCAATCGAATTGCGTGTTTCACTGTAGTTATTATATAAAGTGAGTTTCACCATGGCAGCCAACTGGCCACTGTTCCTTTCGTCACATGTATAGTGTCTTTGGCGGCAAGTAAATAGAATTGAGAGATTGAGTTTATTTTGCTTGCTCCTATTGTCAAAATGTCTGCGGCCGGTTGTTCGAAAGCCAATCAGCTTAACCCTATAGGTTAATCTAAAATTCAAAGCAAACTTGCCAACACTTTGTTTATAAATTTAGATATATTTCTTCGGAAATATTGTCTAGATCAATAGGAGTTTTCTTCTCTTAAGTTTTGAAATAAACAGATGTGCAGAAATATATAAACTAAAACAGCAGATTAGTATAGGTAATCATGCGATGGCGAGTACAATTAGGGATTAATAGTACGAGTGATGTTTGGAAATTTTGCCAAAATTGGACGAGCCGCCGGGACGAGTCCAATTTGGCAAATTTCCAAACATCACGAGTACTATTAATCCCTAATTGTATGAGCAACATCGCATGATTACTTGTTTATTATTAGCATGACAAAATTGGATACTTCTCCGTCAACATCATATTCTTTCGCCAAAGCCCAGTCCTGCCAGACTTTCAACCAAAATTTGGTACTTTTGTTCGTATTTTCATTTAGTTCTTTTGTTAAATCAAAATTTGGTGCTTTTGTTCGTATTTTCATCTAGTTCCTCAAGGGCAATTTCATTTCACATTTGTGTTCAAAATACCTTTCCGCCATTTTGTTTGTTTTGGGAAAATCACTAATTGTACTGCAGGACAATTAATGAAATAATTGTACTCCTCTCAACCAATCAGCATCCACTAATTTTGTCATGCTAATAATAAAGTAAATTATTATGGCATTCCAGTATATAAGATGACAAACATTTCCTGCAAGATGCAAGAAAATTTCCTACAAAGATAGTTTGTTAATAATCTCCTGTGGAGTAGTACTGTTGGCGCTATACTGGATATTTTCCAGAACTGAGTTAAATTCACGGTACCTTTCAATTTTGTTCTCTAAACCAATGTATATCGAAGCAAATGATGATGTTTCAGTCGAGAGACTGCTCCAGTGACAGGAGATCAGTGGATCATGTATCTCATCTGATAATTCTTGAATAACACGATCAATTCTATAGCAAGGAAAATACATTTCAAATACTACAATGAAAAGTTCATTGGGAATAGTGTTTCCTGGATACGCACCTTGTTGTGAGAATGTGATGTTTAGCGATGTTTATTAATTTTTCCAGTAACCTATGACTAGAAATTACAAACACAACAATGAATATATCAACAATATGTCTTTCACCAAAACATGAAGTTTACTGAGAGAAATGCATCTCCAGTTTAACTCTACCAAACATCGAAGGCTTACCCATATATTCCTGTTTCCTCTTGTAGCAACACTGGAGCAAATGGTCCTTACTGGTTATTTAGGAAGGACAGTTTACAACTCATTGAGCTATCTGGTAGAAATCGGCTTAGTTTAGTTTTTCTTCTGTAGTAACCAATAAGAGATTGCCCGTACTGGGCTTAGAATAGTTCAGGACCAATATAAACAAAGTTAGTTTAGTTTAGTCAGTATACTAGAAATTTTACAAGCATCTCCTATTCAAACTGAACAATGCCGTAACAACATTGTTGACAACTTGTTCTTAGGGTGCAGCACAACCATGTTCATGGGCGTACCGGCGCCAAAAATATGGGGCGGAACATAAAATGCCCAACTTTAATGGAAATACTAGATTCCCCTTATTACGTTTTCGTAGCGCTTTGCATTGAGGTTATAGTGGTATCACTGATATTCAAGATGGTTTATTTTTTGTCCTGACCCGTGCAAGAACTTTTAAAAAAAAGCTAGGGTCAGGTGCACGATAGCCAACAGCAAAATATTCGCGAAAACGATATAACCAACTATAATCACAATGCGAAGCGCTACGAAAACGTAAAAAGGGGAATCAAAGGGAATCGTCAATTTCCCCCCTGTCGACCAAATTTTGTTGAAATTTAAAAGTGTCTCAGATGCAACATTACGTTATAGTTCTTCTATGTGCACAAACTTAATTCATTATGACTAAGTTTTGCTCTAGTTTTCGTGGATCTTTCCTCCAGTAAGACGCAAAAATGTCAGACTCTCGAGTAGAATTTGCCCGACTTTTAAAATTTCGGTCAAAATTGAGGGCCGCCGCCCACCTCTCACGCCCCTCCCCGCCCGGTACACCCATGACCTTGTTCAAGCCTGTCAATATAAACCGGGGGCAGGTTGTTCGTTTTTACGCGCGTATGCTTCGCAAAAATTACAAGTCCTATTTTGTATAATGTGCTACCTGATATTGAACTGGTTTACGTCATGTAAGAGCATACATGACGGACCGGCCACACGATATTTTCTATTGTCTTTCATTGCAATCCCTGACGTCACAGGCCGTGGGGTCTCGTGACCACGAGTGGACCGATATTGCTGACGTAGCAATATATGCAATGCAAAATCGAGGACGTCTAG